TTTTAAAATTTTCTCTACGTAATTAAGTTGTATTGTTTTCATTATATATATATATATATATATATATATATATATATGCAGATGCATTATTGTGTTATGTGTGGTGTTAACAACAAACGTAAGATATATAAATTTTCTAAAGACTTTAAGCAATATAATGAACACACTACATATATGTATATATAACTCTTAAAATTATTTAATTTTAAAATTCGAAATTTTCATGTGTTCTCTTCTCTGTGCCATCGTTGGATACCCGTGATTGCTAGCTATTACTTAATTCATTTATTTATTTATCTATTTTTCTTTTGTATTTAAGAAAAGATCTTTTTCTTGGCAACTATCGGTTTTTTCGCTAATATTGTTGAATTGTTGTTATTCTTATTTCATTTTTGTTGTATTAATTTTGAAGGGAAAAAGATTACAATACAATATTTATTACGCCCACTAACGACATATATTAATGCATTCGTTTTGTCTTTTCGTTTGTAATTTGCAAAGAAACTATTTATTGGCTTCTGAGATCTTGAAATGGATTGGAGACATGCCACAGGCATTCTAAGTCAATGATCAGAAATATACTTTTCAAATTGAGCATGACTTGTCAACGTTCATGTTCGCCTAAAGACAATTTTGAATAGAACTATTAAAAAATATTTGAGTAAATATACAAAGCGGAAATGATCGAAATCGTTTTATTGAGATCTTTGTTGTAGTTTAATAGAAAAATGCATTGAAGTTGTTTGCAGTTTTTGCAGATAGAAGAAGATATTCTCTGAAACAAAATTCAATTCCTTATCGTATTACCGCGCAGCACAAGTTCATGGTCTGTCTACCTAGAGAGTTCTAGAGATCATCAATTATAGAAAATTGAACTATAATAGTATGTAGATTCAGGTTCAGGTATATATTGCTGCCGCAGTTCGCACGACAACGATTTTCCTATGTTTCATTCACTTGCTGCATGTTCGCGATTCGGTGTAAGTCGATTAATATTTTTCTGGTAGAAATTTACGTACAAGTGTGTAAGTCTTTGTAGACAGTCTGAGCAACCTTCAAATTTTTGTTTAATTTTCTTCTGTTTTTTTTTTTTTTTTTTTTTAAACAAAATAAAAATATTTAAATTTGAATATTTCAGTTATGCAATACAAGTTTACTCGAGTTGGAATGGATGGATGGATACATTCTTGGCATTGCAACGTCTACGCTGGGGTTAAATTGATCTCAGCGCCCGCCCGCATTATCCATTTTGATAATTATTTTAATTAATTTATGAATCTGAAAATTATATATAGAGAAGTGTGTATCATAGATACTTTATAGAAAGCTAGAAACCAAGTCTTAACTCGAGTTTGATGCGCATTTGAAACCTGAAATCAGACATAGCCTGAAAACTGAGTAAGCGACGATTGTAAGGCACATTTACACACATAAAATGTTTTATGTTTTGTGCAATTTGTTGCACATGTCATGTTCATGATGAATTCGTGCATGCACGCTATTCTTTTGTTGTTGTTACGCTTAATAATAAATGCATAACATATACTTGATCGGAGTTGGAAACTTAGTGCTTATACATGTCAGTCTATATTTTTCAAAATTGAACATTTGTCATATATATTAAATTCTTGGACGACGCAGCAAAGAATAGGAGAAAAAGTGATAACTTCCGTCGACAATTTCCAAATACAAGGTTGAAGTACGATTTGATTAAATTTTTACAAAAATCTTCAGAAAATTATCGACAATTAGTATTAGCTTAAGGTACTCTTGTGCCTGCTTCTAGCTTAAGCGTTTTAGGAATTACCCTCTAAAGAAGGCTTCATTTTCTATTCGTTTCGTTTAAATTCTTGTGATCTTCTTAAAGTTTGCTCTGAGGAAGTCAAAAGTCGTCTCTGATCTGAAAGTCAAGCAACGCATAGCTAAAGGAAAGGAGCTAAAGGAGAAGAGGAAAATTTAAATAATACTACATTC